AACAACAACTCTGTAAACAACAACTCTGTAAATAACAACTCTGTAAATAACACTGTAAATAACAACGACACTGTAAACAACACTGTAAACAACAACAACTCTTTAAACAACAACTCTGTAAACAACAACTCTGTAAATAACACTGTAAACAACAACAACTCTGTAAACAACAACAACTCTGTAAATAACAACTCTGTAAACAACAACAACTCTGTAAATAACACTGTAAATAACAACAACTCTGTAAACAGCAACAATGTAAATAACGACTCTGTAAACAGCAACACTGTAAATAACGACACTGTAAACAACACTGTAAACAACAACAACTCTGTAAACAACAACAACTCTGTAAACAACAACTCTGTAAACAACAACTCTGTAAATAACAACTCTGTAAACAACAACAACTCTGTAAATAACACTGTAAACAACAACAACTCTGTAAACAACAACAACTCTGTAAACAACAACAACTCTGTAAACAACAACAACTCTGTAAATAACACTGTAAATAACAACAACTCTGTAAACAACAACTCTGTAAATAACACTGTAAACAACAACAACTCTGTAAACAACAACACTGTAAATAACAACAACTCTGTAAATAACAACAACTCTGTAAACAACAACAACTCTGTAAACAACAACACTGTAAATAACAACAACTCTGTAAACAACAACAACTCTGTAAATAACACTGTAAATAACAACAACTCTGTAAACAGCAACACTGTAAATAACGACACTGTAAACAACACTGTAAACAACAACAACTCTAAACAACAACACTGTAAAACAACAACTCTAAACAACAACAACTCTGTAAACAACAACAACTCTAAACAACAACACTGTAAAACAACAACTCTAAACAACAACAACTCTGTAAACAACAACAACTCTAAACAACAACTCTGTAAACAACAACAACAACACTGTAAAAAACAACAACATCCTGTTTGTTTTTATGCTGCGACAGCGCGGCTCACACGGCTCACCTCTTCTGTCAGCTTGGTGTTGGACTTCTCCAGAGCGTCCACTTTGGCCTGGAGGTTGTTGACCGAGGCGCTGTGGACAGGAAACAGGAAGTCATGAAGCTCAGAGCGGGGGGCGGGTCAAGGCGGGTCAAGCCCCCGGTAAACAAACCTTAAATGTCTGTTCAGCTCCTCCACGTAGTTCTTCTGATCCAGGATGGAGGTGATCTGATCGTCCCTGAGGGGACAGACAGAGAGACGCCGTCAGCAGAGAGGAAACAGCTGAAACCTTTTAAAAATCAATAAATTGATCAGCAACAGTGAAGAATTTATCAGCTTGTTGCTACTTCAACAATCCAATATTAAAATGTTCGGCTCATTCAGGACATTTAATGGGATTTTTGGTTTTTGTGCAATTTAGACTTTTTGAAATATTTAGCTTTTCAGACACTTTTTCCTCATTTAAAATAAAAAGCTTTCTTTAAATCCTTTCGGCTGTTTACGGCTCATTTCAGCTGTTTTCTAGTTGTATTCTTTTAGCTGATCTATGCTAATTTCAGCTCATTCTTGCTAATGTCAGCTAATTGCTTATTTCAACTTTCCCTTTCTAGTTGAAGCTTTTTATGCTCCATTCAGCTGCTACATGCTCATTTCTGCTGTTTCCTGTCTTTTCAGGTACTGTTTAGCTGTTTTTCCCATTTTAGCTTTCTTATAGCTAATTTCACTTTTTATGTTCATTTCAGCTTTTATCTTCAGCAAACAAGCCATTTTTAATTAGCTAATTTTAGCTTTTTTTAGCCTTTTTTTTTTGCATTCATGCTGCGTTTTTGCAGGAAATGCCGTTTTTTTTATTTAATGTTACAACGTTTATGTCAACAGCTGAAAGGTGGATTTAGGTCATAACCATTTTAGCCTCTTTAACCCTTTAACTGCCTGGTCAACCAAATGTTTGACCATATTTTGAGCTGATGAATTTCAAAGAAGGGGATGTTCAACCAAACTGAAACTGATTGAGGCATCTCTACCACTTGGTTGAAGAATGCAATGCTAACAACATCCACCAGAAGGCACTGTGACATTTCATCTTTCCCTCCTCCAACCAGGAAGTCAAGAACAAGGAAATTTAACAAGACATCATGAAAGAAATTAATCTTTTTTTACATGTTTTGGTAATAAAGGCCTTACTAAACAGAATTATGACCGTTGACGCAGTTCAAAAACTCTAAATATATTTTAAATTTTTTTTGAACATGTGCTCTACCAAACAATTTGTCAATTCACAGAAAGGGTAGAAATTTTTTAAAAATCTAATAAAAATGATTACTTCCCATAAAATCAACTCAATCAAACCCTCTAGTTTTTCTCCATTAGTTTAACCTGTATTCCAGCTGATGATTTTTTTTTTACACATTTTAAAGCTAAAAAACAATATTAGTGGGGTGTTTGGAGATATTTGAACCTGTGTGGATCAGAGAAAATCTGATTTTACCCTGAAATCTGTGTAAAAAATGTTTGAATATAAAAATATCTGTATTATTCATGAGACTAAATGTCTGTTTTAAAGTATTTAAATGTAAAAATGAGATCAGATTATATTTTTGTATCAAAAAAATATATCGAAAAAAAAAGTCACTGATGATGAAGAAACTAATATTAAGT